CGAGGAATAGAAGAGAAGAGAAATAAATATTTCAGGAACTCCTTGTGGTTTGTAAATGACCCATGTGATGCTTTGGGCCATATAAAGTCACAGTATTAAAAAGTAAGAGATATGTGAAGGATAAATTGTGGTACGATCACTCCAAAAGATCCTGAGGAAAGAAAGGATGGCATTAGAATAAAAAAGTGATGAATAGCTTTGGTGATCATTAGAGTTAATTTCAAAATTTCATGCATACTAACCTCATCTGAATCTTCCTGATCTATCGCTGTATTCTGTTCTTCCATTTGTTGCAGTTCTGAGTATCTATAGGTAGCATTACTGAAATAAAACAAAAACATATAATGCATTACAATCTGCACAAAAAACTGTCGAAAGCAAGTCATTTATAATCATTTAAACTAAAATGTAGTACCATAAATCTAAAATAAATAAATAAAAAGTACAGAATGTGCTTTCATTTTTACTTAAATAGATCTGCTGTGCTGACAAATAATATTATTTCTTCTTAGTAGTATTAATCTTACTTGAAAAATATTTAGACACTTTATTTGAAATATATACACTTTATTTACATTGTAAGAGCCAGTTATGCAGAATTCATTTGTGATAATAATTTAGTGAAGGTTAAAACATGATAAAAATTGATATTTAAATTTAATAAGAATTCATTGTGATTGTATTATCTAAAATGCATAATTTAGTAATTGATATAATTTAAAAACCTTTAGTTTGGTATTTTGGCTTCCGACAGTAATACGTCATGAGGTCTGTAGTTCATACGTTTTAGGCAGATTGCAGTTATGGATGTTGGAAGCAACACAGTTTTTTGACCGAGCTGATCGAGTCTATTGTAACTTTGTATTTTGTTTGCATTTGTTCAGTAAACCTTTTTTAAAAGAAGATTCGGTCTTACTCGCGTTTTTGCAAATACTGGTTGTTGGAATTGAAGCTGCAAAAGGTGGTACATAAGGATTTGCACGAAAGGTGTGCCACTATATTAGTCAAAAAACTCGCTAAGAAGATGTCAATGGAATCTCCTTGGATTGCCTTATTGCACGGCTCGACGAACTGATCAACGAACTGATAATTCATTACAGCTTGGAAAAGGTATTGGAACGTACTTTTTATTTTTTGAGTATTGTGAGGAGGAGACGCATATGGATGAATGAGGAATTCCCACGTGCGGAGAAAAACGAAAGTGAAAGAATTAACCGCATGGTCAGTGAGAGCGCTGAATCTCTCCCTCTGTCAGAGAGCGCACGTGAGTGACAAAGTGGATTCAGTCAGTGTGGAATTGTGTGATTATAGAAAGGTTGTTGGCATTCAGTTCTTTATGAAAAGCAATTTGAAGAAAGTGCTTTAAACTTTGTGCACGCGACATAAGCATAAGCTCCGCAACAAATACGATGGCTGATGAAGAAGTTAATATATGCGAAGGCGAAGATGGGGTGGAGTCAGGAAGATCACGTAAACTGACAGAGAAGGGATTAGAGGAGAGATTGCGACGGCTCATAGCAAAAAGGAAACAAACTTTGCGAGCTCTAACAGACAAAATGAAGGAGATAGAGACAATGAAGAGAGATACTCAAAATGTACAAGAAGTGAAGGATATGTTGGAAAGTGATTTTGAGCAGTATCTAAATGAGTTCATTACACTTAATAAAGAAGTTGGCAGTTTGTGGACTGAAGAAGAAAAAATGTTTGACCATGTTGATTGGTTTGAGCCAAAAATGGTGATGTTTAAAGACTTCATAAAAACAACTAAAACATGGGTTGCAGATATGCAAGAATCTATGGAGAAAGAAACTGAGCAGTCAGAAAATCATGATGGAATAAATGAGCATCAAGAGGCTGTTTTACCAAGTGACAGTATCTCCCAGATAGGGGTCAGCAGTGGTGCCAAAGCTCACTCATGTGGATCTCATGTAAGTCGTACATCAAGCACTTCATATTTATCATCTACACGTGCTAAACAGGAAGCAGAACATGCTGCTCTGCTGGAACGTGCATCAGCGATGAAGAAAAAGCGAGAGCTTGAATTTGAGGTGGCAAGGATTAAGCAACAGTTTGAGATGGAAACAGCTAGAATTAAGGCTGAAAAAGAAGAATTAGAAATGGAGACTGCGCTAGCTGAAAGCCAAGCAAAATTAAAAGTGCTCAAAGAGTATGAGAGGTCTGAAGATGGTATGAATAGTTATGCATCAGTGCGTAAAATATCAAGTGAGAATGTGAAGAAGGAAAGAGTAAGCATTACGCTACCGACACAAGCTAATGTAAATGTTCATGTACCAGCACGAATGCAGCCCTCACAAATACCACAGCAGCCACAACCAGTCTCTCATCAAAGTCTTATAACTCAGAATAATAGAAGTGATGACATTTTGACAATCATGCAAAGGCAGAATGTAATTACTGAGCTACTAGTAAAGCAACAACAGCTTTCTCAGTTGCCAACAAAAGACATATCAGTGTTCAAAGGTGATGCACTCCAGTACAAATCCTTCATGAGGGCATTTGAACATGTAATTGAGCAGAAGACAGAAAATGATCAAGATAAATTATACTTCTTGGAGCAGTTTACAGACGGTGAGCCTCAAGAACTCGTTCGTAGCTGTGCTCACATGCCACCTAGCAAAGGTTATCACGAGGCTAAGAAGTTACTTCATAAGCATTATGGAGATGAACTTGTGACTGCCAATGCATACATAGAGAAAGCACTCAAATGGCCACAAGTGAGAACAGATGATGGGAAAGCATTAAATGCTTACGCAATGTTTTTGATTGGATGTCGTAACTCTATGGAGGATATTGAATTTTTGGAAGAAATGGATAATCCTACCAACATGAGGACAGTGATATCCAAACTGCCTTACAAACTTAAAGAAAGATGGCGTGTTGAAGCTTTCGAACTTAAAGAACGAAGAGGTAGAAGAGCAAGGTTTGCAGATTTGGTGAGTTTCATAGACCGCCAGGCCAAGATAGCTATAGATCCTCTGTTTGGTAACATCTCAGACAGCCGCCCAAACACAGCTGGAAAGCTGGGTCTAAGGGAAAAGCAGCCTGCAAGGAAAGAGGTTCGAGGAAGCAGTTTTGCGATTAGTGTTGCTACTGAAAGTAAAGCACCTCAAGAAATACCTATCAAGCCTCCTAACATAATTAAACCAGCAAATGCCTTTGCTAAACCATGTTTGTACTGCCAGCAGTCTCACACTCTTGCTTCATGCAGTAAAATTAAATGTCAGCCACATGAAAAACGAGTGGAATTTCTGAGAGCAAAGGGCTTATGCTTTGGATGTTTGGTTCCAGGACACCTCAGTAAATTCTGCAAACGAAAGTTAGAGTGCAAAGAATGTGCATTAAAGCACCCTGACATTTTGCACAAAGTGAAGGAAGAAAGTTCTGTCCCATCAGAAAATAAAGATGGTGCTCAGCGTAAAGAAGTGTCAAGTATGGAAGTTCCCATCACACAAGAGTCATGTGGTCTTACCGGAGCCGGAGAAACTGAATGTGTGCTATCAATAGTACCCGTGAAAGTCAAATCAAAGAATAGTAATAAGCATATAGAAACATATGCTTTCCTGGACCCGGGAAGCACAGCATCATTCTGCACGGAAGACCTACAAAGGAAATTGAATGTTAAAGGGAAACCCACAAGAATACTTCTTAGCACTATGGGCAAAGATACATCAGGAGAACAAACGCTAATGAACAGTTTTGTGATATCAGACTTAGAAGTGTGCGGGCTCGAAGACACGATGTTCATTGAGCTACCCAAAGTGTTCACTCATAGCAGCATACCTGTGCATGCTGAGAATATACCCAAACAGTCAGATATTCAAGAGTGGTCTTACCTTCAGGAAGTCAGCTTACCAGAAATAGAAGCTCATGTAGGTCTGCTTATCGGAGTTAACTGTTCAAGAGCCATGGAGCCCTGGCGCATCATTAATAGTCAAGATGGAGGTCCTTATGCAGTGAAGACGGCTATAGGTTGGGTGGTGAATGGTCCTGTAAGGAAGGAACTGAAGGATTCAGAAAATGAACCATCTCATTTCTCTGTTAACAGAATATCTCTGATGGACATTGAAAAGTTACTGGCTCAGCAGTACAATACTGATTTTCCAGAGCGCAAATATGACGACAAGGAGGAGATGTCTGTAGAAGACAAGCAATTTTTGAGGTCTGTAGAGAAGACAGCAATCTTTGAGAATGGGCATTATAGCATTGGATTGCCACTCAGGAATAAGAACCTGCAAATGCCTAATAACCGCTGTGTGGCAGAACAGCGTTTAACTTGTTTGCTCAGAAAGTTGAAAAAAAATGCTGAATTCTTTAATGACTACACAAGTTTTATGGAAACCATCATCAATAAGGGCTACGCTGTCCAGGTTCCCACAGACCAACTGAACAGAGATGACAACAGGGTGTTTTATATACCTCACCATGGTGTCTACCACCCAAAGAAAAGAAAGTTAAGGGTGGTATTTGACTGCACCTCCTCGTATCAGGGTAAATGCCTGAATAGTGAGCTGCTTCAGGGGCCTGATCTGACCAACTCATTGATTGGTGTCCTTCTTAGATTTCGAGAGGAGCCTGTAGCAGTAATGGCAGACATCGAGTCGATGTTTTATCAAGTGAAAGTGCCAGAACATGATGCAGACTTGCTCCGTTTTCTATGGTGGCCCAACGGTAGATTGGATGAGCCAGTGGAGGAGTTCAGAATGACAGTGCACCTCTTCGGAGCTACTTCTTCTCCAAGTGTAGCCTCATATGCACTGAGAAGAACTGCAGAGGATCACAAGGATGCTGCATCACCAGATGCTGTTCAGACAGTACTGCGAAATTTTTATGTAGATGATTGCCTGAGAAGTGTAACTACAGAAAACGTTGCAGTAAACTTAGTCAGTGATCTACGAGCTTTGTGCAGCAGTGGAGGGTTCACCCTAACAAAGTGGATGAGCAATAGCAGAAATGTGTTACTGTCAATTCCTGAGGAGCACAGAGCCAGTGAAGTCAAAGATCTGGATTTACGACGCGATGCTTTGCCAGTTGAGAGGACACTTGGTGTGCAGTGGGACACAGAAAATGATACTTTCACCTTCAGTATAAAGCTGCAAGATAGACCAATGACTAGAAGGGGGATTTTATCGATCGTCAATTCCATTTACGACCCTCTCGGCTTTTTAGCCCCAGTCATTCTGCATGCCAAACTTCTATTAAAGGATCTTTGCAAAGAGCAGCGTGGGTGGGATGAAAACATTGATGGAAAGCACGCAGAGGATTGGGAAAGATGGATGAAAGATGTTACTCACCTTTCCAACTTTCACGTGAGTAGATGCGTTAAACCCACCAAGTTTGGATGCACTATTACAGCGCAATTACATCATTTTTCAGACGCATCAGAATATGCATACGGCATTGTGTCTTACCTACTGTTGGAGAATGAACGGGGTGAGAAACACTGCACTTTCCTTTTGGGGAAGTCAAGAGTGGCTCCACTCAAAAGAGTCACAATCCCAAGACTTGAGTTGACAGCAGCGGTTGTCGCTTTGAAAGTTGACAAGATGTTGCATCAAGAGATTCAGGTTCCATTGCAACAATCTGTCTTTTGGACAGACAGCACTACGGTGCTCAGATACATCGACAGTGAAACTGCTCATTTCAAAACGTTTGTTGCAAACAGAGTTTCCTTGATCCGAGAAGCAACCAAGTCATCGCAATGGAAATATGTCGGAACAAATGAAAACCCTGCAGATCAAGCCAGCAGAGGCCTGAAGGCGAAAAGCTTAGCGCAAGGGGGAACATGGATAAGTGGACCAGACTTTCTGTTGCATGAAGAGGATTGGCCGGAACAACCTGTGAGAAGGAATGAAAGCCTTGCCAATGACCCAGAGGTCAAAAATACAATTGTTGTTAACACAGTTAAAGTAGAAGAGAATGTAGAACCAATGAAACAGCTGATCAACTATTATTCGGATTGGAGTAAGCTTAAACGAGCAGTGGCTTGGATTGGAAAAGTGAAGAGTTATCTGTGGAAACAAAAAACAGAAAGAAAAGAGGCTTTAAAAAACAAGCAAGCTGTAAAAGACCCTGAAAAGCAAAGATCAAAATTAATGCAACTTATGAAGAAACTAAAAACTGCTGAAGTAAAAGAATCACTTACCTTGGATGATCTGGACACTGCTGAATTAGAAATCATACAGTTCAGTCAAAGACAGCATTTTGGAGAGGAAATCAAGGTACTACAGGAGGGAAAGCAACTCACTCGCAGTAGTGCACTGTCTAAATTAGATCCAGTGATTTACGACGGCACGTTAAGGGTTGGTGGAAGACTGAACAAATCAGCTATGCCGGAAAAGGCTAAACATCCTGCGATTCTTTCTAAACACAGCAAAGTTGCAACTTTGATCTTGAGGGACATACATCAAAGAACAGGACATTGTGGACGTAACTATGTGTTGGCACAACTAAGATGCAGATATTGGATTCCACAAGCCAATTCTGCTATCAGAAAGATAATCAACACATGCACAGTATGCCGTAGGATGTCTGGAAAGGTTGGTGAGCAAAAGATGGCAAACCTACCTGAAGATCGGCTCCTCCCACACCAACCTCCTTTTACCAACACCGGTGTTGATTTCTTCGGTCCGTTTGAGGTTAAACGGGGCCGGGTTACCCTTAAAAGATATGGGGTAATGTTCACTTGTCTAACGCTCAGAGCTGTGCACATTGAAGTAGCTGACAGCCTCGACACGGACTCCTGCATCAACGCAATTCGCCGTTTTATATGTAGGAGAGGTCAAGTCACCATCATGAGATCTGACAATGGTACAAACTTTGTGGCAGCTGAAAGAGAATTAAGGGAAGCTATTCAACAGCTGGACAATTATAAGATCGAAAGAGCTTTACAGCCCAAAGGAATAAAATGGATATTCAATAGCCCAGCTGCTTCTCACCAAGGCGGTATTTGGGAAAGACAAATCCGGACGGCTCGAAGAATTCTTAATTCCCTGTTGAAGGAGCAAACAGTTAATGATGACTGTCTTCAGACGATAATGTGTGAAGTTGAAAGTATCATCAATGGCAGGCCTCTCACAAGTGTCTCAGATGATGCAAACGACGTTGAGCCTTTAACTCCCAATCACTTACTGCTTCTGAAATCTCAACCAATCATGCCCCCAGGCATCTTCTGCAAAGATGACACATATGCAAGAAGAAGATGGAAGCAAGTTCAGTATCTTGCCGATTTATTCTGGACTAGATGGACGCGAGAATATCTTCCACTTCTTCAGGAGCGTCAGAAATGGATGAAACCCAGCAGAAACTTCATGATTGGAGATGTGGTGCTATTGGTGGACAGTTCATCTCCCCGCAACTCTTGGGTAATGGGGAAAATAGTTGAAACACTGCCAGATTACACTGGAATGGTGCGGAGAGTGAAATTGAAGACCAGAACCAGCACTTTGGAAAGACCCGTAAATAAACTGTGCCTGTTGAAAGAGGCAACGTTGGACGAGTAACAAAGAAGGACAAGTTGATCTTTACACACATTTGAAGTTTAAGTTGTTTGGCTCTTAATGTTTTTAGTTGTAATTGATTAGTCCTCCAGCCTAACAATTAGGGGCCGGGTAATGTAAGAGCCAGTTATGCAGAATTCATTTGTGATAATAATTTAGTGAAGGTTAAAACATGATAAAAATTGATATTTAAATTTAATAAGAATTCATTGTGATTGTATTATCTAAAATGCATAATTTAGTAATTGATATAATTTAAAAACCTTTAGTTTGGTATTTTGGCTTCCGACAGTAATACGTCATGAGGTCTGTAGTTCATACGTTTTAGGCAGATTGCAGTTATGGATGTTGGAAGCAACACAGTTTTTTGACCGAGCTGATCGAGTCTATTGTAACTTTGTATTTTGTTTGCATTTGTTCAGTAAACCTTTTTTAAAAGAAGATTCGGTCTTACTCGCGTTTTTGCAAATACTGGTTGTTGGAATTGAAGCTGCAAAAGGTGGTACATAAGGATTTGCACGAAAGGTGTGCCACTATATACATAAAATGCCTTTTTAAATATTTATTTGATACGGACACATTTTATAATAGGGTTTCTGCAGGTTTCACCAAGTCAAATTTAAGACTTTTTAAGACCTTTTCTTTTTTTTAAATATCAAGAACTAAATTTCAGATTTATATGGGGCTAAACACCAAGCATTTTTCACATTTTTTCTATCAAGAAAAAATATATATTATTGGTTATTTCTTAGCCACATATTTCAAACAATGTGACAAGTCAAGCAGACTCTAGTTGTATACATGTAATTTTTTCCAAGATAACTTAAAAAAAAAATTATAATAAACTAAATGTATGCACACCAGACTGTTATAATATTAGTTACAAACAGAGTTTTGCTAAGAGTTTTACTGAGATGAGACTGTTGGTGATGTGTGTGTTGGATTGATTTAGTAACTTCACATAAACAAGGGGAAATTAAGACCTGGAATGATTTAAGATAGGGCCAGAAGGAATCTGCGGACATTTTTTGCTATTTCTGTGGAGAATTTTGCTAAAAATCTGCAGATTTCTGCGGAATTATTTTAAGAGTATCAAAACTAAAACATTAATATGGAAAATAAAAATAATATCTTTTTAACTTTTATTAAATCTTTAAAATGCAAATCCAATTAGATTCACTTTATTAGGTAAACAAAGCAAGTCTCTCATATAATATATCTACTAAAAGACAGAAAATATTACGTTACAAACTACATAACAGATTGTACATAAATCAGTTGAAAATTTTTATAGTAGTCTGTGTGCGCAGATTCCGTGGGGGCCTAATTTTAAGACCTACATGTCAATATTTCAGGGAATTTAAGACTTTTAAAGACCTTTTTAGGGCAGTAAAGTTGGTTTTATATTCAAACATTCATGATTGTCCATAATAATATAACAATAATTTCAGAAAAGTCTTCTTTGCAAATACTAAATGGTGAAATCAAATTAGCAGCCAATGACTATCAAAGTACAACAGTGTTCAGTCAAATAAATAGGGCTAATGTTGTTTTGACGTCATGCTTAAATTTCAAACCGAATTTCAAAGTACCATGGTAAACAATATAGGACGCATGTCACAAGTTTTCACTGAACGAATGTGCTAATAAAAAACAACTTTACCTTAATACATATTTTGTTCAACTAAATAACTTACTGATTGGTACTGATTTGAGCATAAGTATTATTTAACTTAACATAAATTATTGCAAAATATGCTATATTGAAAAAGTGTTCCTACAAAAACGTGGTATCAGAATTGACATATTAAGTTGCGCTGTTACATAAAGCAAATGGTGTTAAATGTACTGTGCTGCACCTCTGTGGAAAGCAGTATTTGCGTATGATGAAGAAAGCAGCTGCTGTTGCACCTATAACAACGACCACAACAGACGCAATAACTCCTGAATGAAGCCTTACAACCTGCAAAATGAGAGATTAGGGATAGTTTGTAGTGTGCAAACTGACAGGGAGGTTTAAAGTGTGCAAACTGGCAGGGAAGTGACGGGTACAATAACAAACCTGTTGATCATTTGGAGCAGCTGAAGTGGGTTTCTCCGAACTTCCAGACTGTCTTGAGTCGCGACGTGTCGAAAAGGCAAATACGAACTCCCAAAAAACACTATATAGAATCAAATTGAGTAACATTTTAGAGTAGTGGCTAAATTTGAGCGACTTTCTCGCCATTTCTGTTGTCGTTTACTTCCTAGTACTTCTACCTGTCAGATGACGTAAAGGAGGAAGCGGCGTGTGATTGGCCGATCGTGTCTCAGCGGGAACATTTACGGTAGGATCATAATTTTAAAAAACAGTTAATTAAATTAAAGTTAAAGCATACTTTGTGTTAGTTTCACTTCATATTGTCTACGAGACTTGAGTAAAGTACTATAACAACAATGTAACACTGAAATGAAACTGAAACATGGTTTATTTTACATACAAATAAAGTTAAATTAAGATTGTTTGAATTTATATGAATGTTAATTCATTACTAATATAAACAATACAATACAATACAATATTTATTTATAAAGAACATTTAATAACAACAAGGTTGACCAAAGTGCTGTACATAGGAGTGTGAAAGACAGAGAAGCAGAATATAAAAGAAACATGGACAAATAAAAGCAATAAAACAGTGATCAGGGAGTATTTAAAAGCGAGAGAAAATAGAAAGGTCTTTAAAACAGACTTAAACACAGAAATGAAGAGGGAAAGTCTGATGTGAATTGTTAGACTGTTCTTAAGTTTAGGACCAGCAACAGCAAATACTCGATTACCTCGTTTTTTAAGGCTTGTTCTAGGCATGGTGAATAAATTGAGATGATAAGATCTCAATGATCGAGAGGGGGTATATGGACAAAGCAAGTCAATAAGGTACTAAGGAGCAAGATTATTGACGGCTTTGTAAATAAATAATTCAATTTTTAAATCAATTCTGTATTGGTTACCAATAAACAGTATAATGTTAGTAATAGTAACAAAAAATATACACGTTGAATCCAAAAAATGTTAATGTTAAATCAGTAAGTGTTATAAATGACAGCATGGTGTTTTAACTAAATTCACACACACAGTGGCAGTACTGATCAACAAACATAAAAACCTGATATAAGCTCAGTCTCAAAGCAGCTCGTAATATTTTCCAGATTGTGGATCAAAGTAACAGTTGAGGCAGGAGTCATACATTAAATTGAGAAACTCTTCTTCTTCACTGTTGTCATGTAACTTTGATCCTGTGGAAAGAGAAAAAGATGTTACATATAGGGGAGAGCGGGGCACAAAGTAACACTTTTTGGTTTTGGTCAAAAAATGAACAAAGTAATCGGGTTAGACAAACAATAATTTTTTATCGAGAACACACACATTTCCTACAAATAAACACTGAAATTAGGATCCCTGGAAGTTTCTGTGTGGTATTGCCAATAGTGGCAGGAGTAAAAATGTTACTTTTTACCCCACCTGCGGGGCAAGTTGTAACAGACAGGGGGTTAGTTGTAACACGTGGTTACAAAGGCAGATTTCACACAGTTAATTTGACTTCTGTTTACTTTAAATAGTAGCTCTATTTCCTCATTTCTTTTTTTATTCTACATAGAACAGCATGTTTATTTATTTAAATGTTTATTGGATCAACAAATTTGAATCTATTTGCATTATTATCCATTTCTCCAGTATTATATAATGCATTTATTTGCATTATAAGCAAAAAAAAATGTTTTTTTCTGTATTTTTTTTTTGAATTAAAAATATTTTTATATAAAAATTTCTTAACATTACACTCAAAAAAAAAAAAATTTGTTAGTTTAATTGGTGTCCAACAGTGTGTGGCTTAATTGTAACACCCTTTTACAACTAACTCCGCTGTGTCGTGTTTTCCTCAAAACTGTCTAGCAGTCACTGTGTTTTTCACATCTTTCAATATGGTTTCATCTTTTAGCCTAGAAGACGGTGATCACAACAATACAAGATTTTACATACATTTTTTCACAGATTTTGTGAAATAAAAAAATATTGACTATAATAAAAAATACTTTAATGCTGCAAGAATGGTTTCTCCCATGTTTCTTATCTAAATTTCACCGAACTTTTAGCATGCCATAATTAACTCTGAGCAAATACCTTAAAACTTTGTGTTACATTTAACCCCGCGTTACTTTGTGCCCCGCCCTCCCCTATCCAACAAATGGAGACAAATTATATCTGTTACAAAATTTTAAGCCACAAACAAGTATACATTTGGTTACTTTATCAGTATTTTTTTTGTTGTTGTTGGTTTTTAAAAATGGGTGTCATGGTGGCGCAGTGAGTAGCATGATCGCCTCACTTCAAGAAGGTTGCTGCTTTGAGCCTTGGCTGGGTCAGTTGGCATTTCTATGTGGAGTTTGCATGTTCTCCCTGTGTTGGCGTGGGTTTCCTCCAGGTGCTCCAGTTTACACAAGTCCAAAGACATGTTATAGGTAAATTGGGTAAGCTAAATTGAATGAGTATGTATGGATGTTTCCCAGTGATGGGATGCAGCTGGAAGGGCATCCGCTGGGTAAAACATATGCTGGATAAGTTGGCGGTTCATTTCGCTGTGGTGACCCATGATTAATAAAGAGACTAAGCCGAAGGACAATGAATGAATGAATGAATAAATGAATGAATGAATGGATGAATAAATTAATGCATAAATGAATGAATGGTTTTTAAAAATATATATACTCGTAGGATTTACCAATGTTAGGGCTGGACACGCTTGGACAGTATCAAAAAAGGGATAACAATCGAGTTTGAATCAAATTCTTCAGCAGAGTATTTAAAAAGACATTTGCCTGAAACTGTGGTTCTTGGTGATTCATGAAATGCAAGCTGCTAGCAGCACTTTAAGGCTCAAACAAACAAACAAAATGATATGTAGAGAACAAAAAATGTATACACATGGCTCCTGATGATTAATTCACAGCTTTAATAAATGGCACTGAGTATGTTTCTGGCAGTGTGAACTGATCGTTTCGCATCATTTGACCTCAATGTATCTTCAGGAGCCTATTATTTTTATTCTGTCTTTAAATACATACATTATTTAATGAGTTTTTAATAAGTTCTGGTTGATTGCATGTCCATAGTCACCAAAGATTACAGCTTCAGTTAAAAGTTTTCTTTAAAGTCACCTGCATTTTAAATATCTGCCAAAATCATTTTGGGTGCACTATCTCTTTAAGAACCCCCAGTTCAAGCATTGTCACAGAAATATCACTGTGGGTTTTAGATAAAAGAGAAATCAATCCTGTATGTAATTGTACCAGTTCTGTGAGCACACATCTTCTCTTTCCAAGAGAAATCTAGATCATGATTTATTTTTAGCAACAAAGGGTTGAGAATATGAGGTGGGCATGGGGATTTTTCTGGTGTCATACCTCTGGTTGAGACCTTGTGGTCTCCTTTTCCATCTGCCATCTGTTGATTTGGATGAACTATCGGAGGGCTGAGGACATCCATCCACTCTCTACAAGAGAGAGTTAGTCATTCAATTATTAAAATAAAACAGCTTTTGAAAAAGCATGAGCAGCTAGCATCAGAAGGAAATGATATGACCTTACTTTCACATTTTTGCACTTGACATGACTACATGAAACAAATAATTTAAAATAATAAGGTTGTGCTAAAAATAAGTCATGTACAAGCTGAAAGCTGAGTGTGAAGAACGGTTGGATTTGTGGTTTATTTTTATCCATCATGGACATACTGCTACCTTTGGAATTTTAACAATAGTATAACAAGCATAATTGAAGTCAGAATTATTAGCCCCCCTTTGAATTTTGTTTTCTTTTTAAATATTTCCCAATTGATGTTTAACAGAGCAAGGACATTTTCACAGTATGTCTGATAATATTTTTTCTTCTGGAGAAAGTCTTATTTGTTTTATTTCAGCTAGAATAAAAGCAGTTTTTCATTCTTTAAAACCCATTTTAAGGTCAAAATTATTAGCCCCTTTATGCTATATTTTTTTGATTGTCTGCAAAACAAACCATCATTATACAATAACTTGCCTGATTACCCTATCCTGCTTAGTTAACGTAATGAATCTAGTTAAGCCTTTAAATGTCACTTTAAGCTGTATAAAAGTGTCTTGAAAAATATCTAGTCAAATATTATTTACTGTCATAGTCACTGTTATTAGAAATGAGTTATTAAAACCATTATGTTTTGAAATGTGTTGAAAAAATCTTCTCTCTGTTAAACAGAAATTGGAGAAAAAAATAAACGGGGGCTAATAATACTGACTTCAACTGTATGTATATAATTTCAGCTATTTCTGGTCTTGTGAACACTACTGTAAAAAATTCATTCATGCTGTCACAACACAAATCGTTTAAGTTAACTTAATTGTTTTTTTCTTATTTTAAGTAGCTTGAACATAAAACAATTAAGTTGTCCCCAAAAATACAGAACAATTTTGTTGTTTCAACTAATTTTAAGTAAAGTTTCATAAACTAATTTCGAGAGGAGCACGTGATATGATTGTGCACCGCTGGCCACTCATCTGTAATCAGTAATAATCCAATCAGAATGATCCTAGCTTAATATAAATGGATCATTTTCTCCTCATTGCACTATCTTCGTTTTGGAAGAATCCCCCCTTCCACCCCATCTCCTCCTTTTTCTCCCCTTCTAAAGGGGGAGCGATCGAGACCTGATCTCGGTTCTCCTGATATGCTTCTAGACCGGGCGGGAGCCCTGGGCTCAAATATCTCAGAGCTCAGGGTTCTCTCCCGGGACAGCATGCCAAACCTGCTATAAGTGCCAAGCATATCTAAGTGGGAACTCTTGAAATAAGTAGTTTTACCATGTAGTAATTTTTTGAGTGTAAGTAAACACATTTGATGTAATTTATCTTACTCAGAACAGTACTAAATTAAAAATACATACATTTTGTATGATCTCTCTTATTTTGTTTAAAATTAATCAAAAACTTTTGCAAAACACTATTTTGAAATACTTGTTTCAGGTTTTACTTATATCTTATTTACTTACTCGATTTAGTTTACTCATTTATTCATTTTCTTTTTGGCTTAGTCTCTGTTAATCTGGGGTCGCCACAGTGGAATGAACCGCAAACTTATCCAGTACATGTTTTACGCCACTTCCAGTTGCAACCCATCACTGGGAAACATCCATATACACTCATTCACTACGGACAATTTAGCCTACCCAATTCACCTGTACCACAGTCTTTGGACTGTGGGGGAAACCGGAGCACCCAGAGAAAATCCAACTGAGTAACCTTTCTTGGGCTGCAGGGTGATATGGCTGTGGCTATTTTACTTACTTTACTTAATTACTTTACTTACTTTACTTTCTTACTCCCAGGCCCATTTATATCGCAGCTGATATTTAGCCGCATCATATTGGTGTTCCGTAATCTATAGTTTTTATAAGGCTGTTAGCCCAACACTCAACCCCCAACCTGGAGGACTTACTTACTTACTTTACTTAATTACTTTACATAATTACCTTACTTACTTTACTAATCTACTTTACTTACTTTACTAACTTACGTTGCTTACTTACTTTAATTACTTAACTTAAATACTATACTTACTTTCTTACTTGCTTACTTTACTTACTTACTTTCTTACTCTCAGGGCTGAAGCTGATCTTTAGCGCACCATATTGGTGTTTCATAACATCTAGTTTTTATAAGGTGGGTTGTTAGCCCAACGCTAACCCCCAACCTGGAGTACCAGGACATACATTCACTACAAACAATTAAGCTTAACCAATCTACCTACAGCGTCATGTCTTTGGACTGTGGGGGAAACTGGATCACCCGGAGGAAACCCACGCAAAGATGGAGAGAACATGCAAACTCCACACAGAAATGCTAAATGACCCAGCTGGGGCTAGAACCAGTGTTTTTCACCATTTTGTGTCAAGAATAATATAATATAATATAATATAATATAATATAATATAATATAATATAATATAATATAATATAATATAATATAGCAGTTTCTTTAGTCAACCTTACTGACTGTTTGCATTTTTATGAAAGTTCCTCTCATAATTCAGCATCATGGAGAAAGATAACATTTTGTTTAATATTACACAGAATGTTCCGGAATCGCTGCACCAAAAGCTCACTGTAGCTAACGCATGCGTCTCTCTTTCATATTCCCTCATTTACATGACACTTTTTTTTGAGGCACCATGTGGTGTTGATGGACAGGTTCCCCGGTGGGACGGGAGGGAGGTGGATGATGACCTCCCAGAGAGCGGTGACAGCGAGGTGACACATGCAAGCCTCTGAGCACACGCACAACTCCTGCTTATTTATTGTCCCTGACAGCCATGCTTAATTAATCAGCGAGGCGTGGCAGTGTGGGCAGCTTCCCTTGACAGGCAAAAGTTTTGCGTAGGAAACCAGCCGTAGTTATTATGCTGTGGGGTTGTAAATAGTGTGTAGGGAAAATGAGGAACTCATGAAGCGCTCCTTGAGTTATCTTTGATCAGTTCGTTTATGTTTAAAGGTCTCATTCTCTGCAATTTTTACACCGATTATTAATCGGTTTCTTACTCAACCTAGAAAGGGTTTTAATTAGTAGAGTGTAAGGTTTAGTTGTATGATGTTTATATTACTTTTTATAAATTATGTACTAATAATAATTACATTTAATATGATCATTTATTATAATTCATGAAATAATAATTAAGATTTTTTAATCAAATACATTTCTTCCTTTATGATTTCTAGTGTGACATATTTAAATGGTTTTCTGACATGTATTGATGTGCGTTTGCACATGACCCAGAAATTTCACTAAATGGGTATACTCTCTCCGCTGGATTACACCAGGCGGTGCATGAGGAAAGCTTTTCTCTCTGCTACCCTCAGGCAGACGGTTCCGCAGCATCCGATCACGCACTAGCCGGCTGGAGGAAAGCTTCTTCCCTCAGACTATCAGGCTGATAAACACTTAACACACCTCACACACTCTTCCATACCCTCACTGCACACCATCAATATGTAGCATGCAATGCACTTTAACCAATCCATACTTGAAACAATACTGCCTACAACTATGTGGACACATATTTATTGTACATATCGCTGTCAATTATACATTGTCCTGTTTTTTTGGGAGCAAGCTGTTGTATTCTGGATTGTCGTTGTATTTGCAGTGTCTATTTTGCACTGTCGTTGTATTTGCACTGTCTGTATTTTGCACTGTCGTTGTATTTGCACTGTATCTGTATTTTGTACAGTCTGGAGCCAGCACCTAAGCTTTTCACTCATCATAGCACACACATTGCTGCTGATGATGTGACAATAAAAGTAATTTGATTTGATTTGATTATAATGTGTCAATACACAGCACCATCATTTATAGGATGGTTCTAAAGTAGGGGTTTCAAAATTAATTGTTTCTTCGGTGGACCGCGATGCAGATGTGGACAATTCGGTATCGGTTCAGTAATAATCCGGTTATTGTGTACTGACGTCATTTATCTCATATGCGATATGTCTCCGTAGCTTACAATGGCGAGGGAAATGAGCTCAAGTATTTACAATGCTCCAACTGTGCACAATTTCACTACGTGTGTGTTTTCTGTACAGTCTTTTACTGACACAGCAGAAGCTCCTATTTGGCTGCGATTGAGAGAATGAAAGTGAACTCCATTTCTCTCTTTCTGAACTCTCTCTCATCCACTTTGGCCCAATAGACCTGCTGGCGTGACTTTTCTGCTAATCTCAGCTGTTACAGGTATACTTCTGGATAGAGGTCTGCATTTCTTGTGGCGCGGGAATAAATTTCCAAATAAAGCGCGGGAGCAGTAGGTAACTCTGGTGTAATTTGATCATGTCTCTGGGGCCCCCCTAAATGTATGGGCCCTTAGAACCGTCCTAATTCGCTCGGGCAGTCTAGCAATATCGCTCCCGAGCAAGCAAGCATGCTCGTGTGTGTGTGTGTGTGTGTGTGTGTGTGTGTGTTTATGTGTGTGAATGAGAGAGAGTGTGATGCTTTGTGTCGTTTGCTTGGTGCTGTGTGTCTACGTGTGTGTTTATACAGACAGCTTCAGACCCCCCCCAATATAAAACTGTTTATGGAAAGCATCGTCAAAGCATCGTGATGCACCGAGATATCGAATTGATGGCATGATAATCGTAACCAAACCGAACCTTGAGACCAGTATAGGTTCACACCTCCATTCTAATGCTGTGGAAATCAGATTGTATTGCTCAATTTAAGAGATGGTTGACTTATCCCACTCAAATATTCCACAAGGAAAGAGTCTGGCAAGCAGTTATTGGTAACCTTCATAGTTTTAACAATATATGGCAACTGTTTCTCAATCACCAGCAGTGTGTAGTTGTTAATATGATCACTGAAACTTACTGAGTGCCTCTTTGTATTATCTTAGTGACCGTTTAAATGCTCTGACTGTTTTGTTTGTTTGTTTGTTTTTACCCTTTTATTATTATTTTTCTTATTTATTATTATTTTCATTTGATGTATTTTGTTATTTTATTGTTGTTTGGTGGTTATTGTAAATTGTAAAACTAATATAAAAACTATTAGAAATAATGAAATACATTTCTTCCTAAAACAGTAGTAGTTATATATTTATTTATATTTATATAATACTATGAGCATAAACACTCTTTGTAGTTATTTAAAATTAATTTATAATAGCGTTATAAAAATAATGTTTCAATAAAATTTATTATTTTTATACTCCAACTACTAATGCCACTACACTCATGACACAACACTAAATATCATTGCTTATAAATTAAAGCAAAAACTAAACAATTAGTTATTATTAAAATTATTATAAATACATTTCTTCCGAAACAATATTATAGACAAATACTACTTTACTTTTTATTATAATTACTTTTGTAATATTTATATGCTGTTAACTAATGTGTGTTTTTGTATATAATTTAAAAAAATATCATAGAACAACAACATCATTATTATTAGTATTAATTTTATCATTATTATTTCTACAAACCTGTAAAATGTTTAATGTTTACATAGTTTTCCAATCAATTTAAAAACCTGCAAAGACTTAAGACATAAGGTGCAGTGCTCCATTAAGTAGGCAATCTGGAAGGTTTGTCATGAAACGAATGTCAGTCAGATCTTTTGAAGTCTGGCATAACTTTTCTGCCGCACACCACCTGCTCCCTTTTGAATTTTTAAAGTTCCCTGTAACTGCTGAACAAAATGGTGAACATGAACATTTTATCACATTTTGTTACCACTTTTCTGAATTCCAAATTATTGAACGTTCAAGCCTGAGGCCTGACGAAAGCTCTCATATGAACTCGCATGATAAAGTTCTTAAATGTCTCATTCATGTCTAAGCCTCAACACTTAAGTGTACAATAATGCTCAGAATTATACTGTAGGGAGGCTAAAAATACTGCTTTTTCTCTTACCTGGGATTAGAGTGAAGAAGAGGGTTCATTTCTTTCTGATAGTGCTGGCCCTGATCCACTGGCTGTGAATCACAGAGAGAATAAAGAGTACTGTATTTATAATCTGGTTCAGGGGCCGTATCTGTCCACTATTAGCTCCAGTCAAGTACGAAAATATAATACGTTCTGGATTACCTCGATCCTTGCTTTAAAATAATGATTTAGGCTTTCATAGTTTGGAGCAGTGCTACTCAAAATTGAACCCCAGGACTTTTTATGAGAGTCTAATACTATTCATAGGCTGGAGAAACACACTTCTGCTGTTCTGCATTACAGAAATGTCCTGTTTTGCCTGGTTTATGAAATTAAATTGCCCCTAATATGCTTTTTAGATATTATCTTTCATATTTGTTGTGTAGCTGTTTACAAATGTGAAAGGTGTTATCGTCACCCTAAAGTAGGAATTAATTCTGAACTGGCTCAAATGAATCATCAGTAAATCTAGTCTTACTTTATGCACAAACCTACATGGATTTTTTCACAACTTTGCACAGAATTTACGTTGACCCTCAAGCATTGCTGTTAGAGCTGAGATCTGGAAGAGTTTGGTTTATGTTCTGTTGCTGCTTTCTGTTTCAAAAGCAAATCCACTTCTCATACACTTCTAAAAGATGAAGACTTGCGTTTGAGCAGTTACAGTAAAACCAGCACCATCTCTACTGTTTGTATTATTGCGTTTTCTAGTGCTGAGGAAGCTTCTGGAGCTAAAATTCATGAGTAGGGAGTTTATTTTAGGTGTACATTATCGCATTATGTATCTGTATATCAGTATATATCGGTACAGTATGTATCAGTATATTGGCATTGGTATATCAGCATGTATCAGTATATTGATAAAAAAGACAGATACTGATGGTTTATTGATTACGTGGAAGCATTGAGTTGCACCTGTTTTAAATAATCAAAAATATATATATTTTAATACTTGCAAAAAACTAAATGAAATCCATACAAAATACCAGACCTATATATGTACAAAAATCTAAATATTTACAGATCTAATGTGTACAAAATTTCACGTGTCTTTTTTTCTGGAGCAGCAAAATGTGTCATCTAGTTATAGTAACAGCATTGGTTTTACTTCTTAAGTTTCTTAAATAAATCCATTCTATTATATGTCAAACAAAAGTTGCTGTTGTTCAAAGAATACTGAATTGCAAAAATCACTTTTTTATTTCAACATTAACCTTTAACATTCAGCTGGCCAACATTTTAGTTGGATCATTGATAACGTTTAGTCAAATGAAATTAGTGCTAAACTAACTAGCAGTAACTGTATGCAGTTGACCAATATTGGTGTCTGAATTTAGTTCAAATTGGTATTGGCCAAAACAAATCCATGCATTCCTATGTGAGTGTTTTATTTCCAGACACACACTATAAGCGATAGATCAATCACAACAGACTACCATTTTTTTTTTTAATATCTGATGTTAAATCATACTAAACGTTTACTATTTTAGGTTTGTTAGGATTACCTAAATGCCAAAACAGTAAAAACAGTGAAAAGCCTAAAAAGCCTAAATAATGAGAATTAAAAAAAAATGTTTTATTAATTTCTAGACAGTCAAAAGTTTACATTTCCTTGGTATTTTTTTAGCTTTGCTTTTAAACTGTATAAGCTTTTTCAACTCTGCCTACAAATCTCTATAGGATTGAAATCAGGGATTTGTGATGGCCACTCTAAACATTCATGCTGTTGTTCCTAAAGCACGTTTAACTAATTTGGTAGTATACTTAGGGTTATGGTCTAGTTGGAACATCCATTTGTGGCCAAGTTTTAATTTCCTGGCTGATGTCTTGAGATGTTGCTTCAGTATTTCTACATAATGTTGTTTCTTCGTGATGCCATCTCTGCTGTGAAGTGGACCAGTCCCTCCTGCAGCAAAACAGCCCCACAACATGATACTGCCACCCCATACTTCACAGTTGGCAGGCACGTGCACACATAGGGCTCAACCTGTGGAGTGCACATGCCCTTTTTAGTCTTGGATAGAAAGTGCCCTTCCAAAATGACCAAAAGTGCCCCCGTGACACACCCTCCGTCCCACCCTTCAGTAGGTGCGCGACAACACCGCTCTTCCAGCCTGATCTCACGAGAAACATAAGTATTTTACGTTTTGCCAGTTAAGTGGCTAATTCGTATGAATTCGTATGAGTTCAGTCGTACAAAATGGTACGATTTTAAAAAGGAGGCTTGGCACCTGACCCCACCCCTAACCCCAACCATCATTGGGGGATAAGCAAATCGTACTAAATTGTACGAATTAGATCGTACAAATTCATACGAATTAGCCACTAAATGAAAAAGTTACGAATTGCCGTGAGATTGTGTTGGCTCTTCAGTACGCACGCGACAACATCCACCCCCCGCCCTTCAAAAAATGTATCCTGCACATGCCCTTTGGACGGTCTCTGCACGGGCCTGACAGTTGGGATGGTGTTCCCAGGCTTGTAAGCTTTCCCCTTTGTCCTCCAAATGCAACACTGGTAATTATAAAAAGTTTTTCCCAGAGTAATTTTGCAAATTTTAATCTGGCTTTTTTTTTTTGTTGTTGTTGTTGATGATTCTGGCTTGTTGATTTTTCCATGTTGTCACAAAAGGAAGCAGCGTGTTTGAGGTTTTCCTTAAATACTTTTCTACAGTTGTGCCTCCAATTAACTCAAATGTAGTCAGGTAGCCATTCAGAAACTTCCAAAACCTTGACACCATCATCTGAGCTTTTTCAGAGGCATAATAATCTTATTGTATGTAAACTTGACTTTCAAGAAAAGTTATAACAATTTCTCAAACAATATCTCTCTCATTATTCTGTCATTAAGCATAACCGAAAAAAAATGTGATAATCCCAACCTACCTTAAAGAGAAAAAGTTTAGTCACATTAACATCTGACTTTTTTTAAATGGTTATGTGCCTTTTTATACAGTTTATGTAAACTTCTGGTTTCAACTGTATATAATTTTTACTAATTGCTAATAAATATATATGTTTTAATGTTTTACTACTTTATGTCTAATTCTCAGGCAAACCAGTTGGTGAGAACTTAAGCATTGTACCTGTTCTTCAAGCCTGATGGTGGCAGTATTGCTATGTTTTCACAGTCTTACAATCCACTAATTTGCAGTTTCTCAGTACCAGGCACACCAGGCATGATTAGCAGTTCCAGCATATCTTTCTAATCAACAGACAACAGCAACATCAACAACTGATGGATAGGGTCTGATATTGTAATGCCATGGGGGTTTATTTCACTCTAATTAGTAGGTTTTTTTATATAAACTGTTTGATTGCCCTTCTTCATGGGAAACCAGCTTTTAATATTCACTCTATTATTTGCCTGCTAGCTACAGTTCATCCATACAAAGCACCCTGTATATCTGAGGAGCCTAATGATGAAGGAGCAGTGCAGACTTTCTCACTCTGTACTCTCAAGTGTGGCAATGCATTTGGCTTCTGTAATTATAATGGCAATAAATGTCTGTATAGTGTATGTGTGTGTGGTTTGCAAGCCCACCAAAGGGATACACTGAGTCCAGGTTGAGGTGTCGTCACTGCTTGCGCTTAGACTTATGTCACAGTGGTGAACCTGGCAAAAGAGAGAACACAAACAAAATAACACAAACATATAAGAAAAAAGGAAAATAATCACACATTTAACTGCAAAAATGGGAATATTTCTAATTTTATGTTTGTACGTAATGTTTATGTTATATATAATATTTTCCCTGACTTGGATGTAGCACTTAGGACAATTTGAAGTTAGAATTATTAAACCCCCTGAATTATTATTATTACCCCCCCCCCCCCCCCCTTATATATCTATACATACATACATGTATGTATATATATATATATATATATATATATATATATATATATAAATATATATATAAAGGGGGGGGGGTTAATAATATAGAAATAATAATATAAATAATATTATATAATATTATATAAATATATACACAGAATATTATAATAAGAGAATTTCAAAAGCTTTTTTGTGACATTATAAATGTTATAAACTTTTGCTGTTACTGTCGGCTATTTTACATATATGAGTCTAGGACAATACTGTATGTCCCATTTTGTCCAGTTTTATTAAATAAGTTTTGTGAAAATAAAATGTCAAAATATGGGTTAAATAATGTCAAATTGTCATTCAAAGTGGGACAGTATTATGTAGAACTTATACATTATACTTAATCTTACATGTACTTTGTGCGAGAAAAAAGGAATCATAACATTTTTGTAAATAAAACTATGTTTTGATGCGTATAACATTAGGGTAAAACCAAAAATGTCAAAGTAGGAAATTACAATTGCAACTATTTAAAATTACAATACATTTTTATGTAGATAAATTACTATTATGCTAAATTATAAAATTATTCTTCTGTAAGTCTTCTGTAAATAACAATAGCTATTATTTGCACAAAATATACATCAAACATAAATTTGACAAATTTATACAACACAGGCTCATTCTGAAAACACACCCCTATATACATTTTTGGAGGGCACCAAAAACGTCCAAGGAGGTACGTTTTTTGCAGTTTTTGTTTTAGCGAATCTGCCTGGGGCCGCTGTGTATTCATTTTCAGATCTATAACATTTCTCTTGTGAGTGCCATTCAAACCTGTTATTCTAGAGTAAACCCACTAGAAGCCCCTGTCGACTGACTGAATGACTGACTGATTGACTGATCCACCCTCCTCCTTCCCTAAACCCAACCAATAGTGATTTCAAAAGCACCAATTGACCAGCATATGAACTTCTGGCTACATAATTCACACTCTCCAGAAATGTACATAGGGCTATGTTTTCAGAATGAGTCTATGTTAAATTTATACCAAACATTAAGCTGCATTATATTTTTAATAATAAAATAATTTTTTAGAGGTTTTTCACCATTTGTTTGGATAAGATATTGGAGGTTACAGTCAGCAAAGTATTGGGAGCAGAGATAGGGGAAGGATTGGCAAAGAAACTTGAGCCAGGAATCGAACTCAGGTCTCCGTGTACATCATTGTGCTATATGTCAGAGCACTTAACCACTAAGCTACTGGCACCAACTCATTCTTATTGTTTTGGTGCTTGAAAAAACCTACTGCGCTCGACAATCAAATCAAATCTTATAATTGCTATAAATATAATCAGATATTTAAAATGAATTTACACTATATACACTGTAAAAAAATGTAGGGTTCCACACAATTCATTCATGCTGTCCCAACACAATTCGATTAAGCTAAGGTAACACATTTAGATGGATTAAACTTAAAATAAGTTTCCTAACCAAATTTCTGTTCTCCCTGTGTTCACGTGGGTTTCCTCTGGGTGCTCCGGTTTCCCCCATAAGTCCAAAGATATGCACTATAGGTAAATTGAATGTATGTTTCCCTGTTTCATTTTAGGATGACATCACCATGGCCTACCTGTGATGCACTAAGTCCTGGACTGCTGATGTCTCCTTCTTCCTCCTGCTCCCTCTTTAAACATGCCAACATCCGCAGCTCATCTTCCTCATCCTCTTCGTCTTGACTTCTCAGATCACACCTGCTGGAGCCCAAAGGTTGAACCCTCCCATCGACACTCACCTGTAAACCCCAAAAATCTCATTACTTCATCGGTGCCACTTTGTAATGAGACTGATCGTTACAGGGTATAGCTAATTAGCGAGCAATCAATCAAAGCTTGCCAGCTAATTGGCACCCCCATTAAGGCCAAGACATCAGCAGGGATGGTTGCCTGCTGCTAAGAAATCCACTTATACCAAGTCCTACCTGGATCACGAGCGACCTTCCAGATCAGCTTTGCAAACTTCAGCAGCATCAAAGATATGTGCCATGTTTAAATGGGAGAACGCAGCGTTATGGGGCATCCGTAATGATTCTCAGTAATTCCCACATCAAACTCTATAAGACGTTTAGCTAATCACCGTTTCAGTCCTACGGTGAGAGACTGTGGTGGTTGTGCTCAATGCTTGGACCAGTTTTAGTTGGTGTTTAACAAACTAAAAGAGGAAATAACAGTAATGAGTTCTCTTTGATATCCCAGTGGTTTCTCCTGGGCAAGGAGGAGATGAAATGGAGAGCAGATGGAAAGTTTGCATTACTGCGCTGCTTCACATTTATCGAGTCGGAACATTTGGCCATTTGGAAACTCTTATTGTAGAAAAAAAAGCACTGTACCTAATTGTCTTCTATTGTATAGACTTTTCAAAATATCCCTTTTATTACATGCATATATAGAGATAGAGGGAATAGGTAATTTCTGAAAATGTATTTTGGATTTTCAACAACATCAAGCCCAGTAAAAAATGACAGAGTTTGCATTTTGGTTGAACTAACCCTTTGAGGAATTGACAAAAAGTTGCAAGCGTAATTTCGAGAAATTGTCCTCAAATTCAAGCAGCCACATAGGTTTTGTGGTGTGAACCCACACAATCACATGGCCTGTGTTCATGCAGATGAAATGTTTTTTAACCATAGCAAGCATGCAGGGTTAGAGGGGATCAAATCAAGCACATACTTCAGCTGAATTGGTGCACTCCAGCAGAGTGGCTTGTTTATGAGGGCCTCTGTTTTTATTGTAATTTCAGAACTGGTGTGGTTCTTATCATCCCCAGAGGCCGGATATTTTAATCTGAATCCATTCAGATTGAGGGGGGGTTGGGTTGTGCCCTTGGATCTCTGATGCATTTGGAAATTGCATTGCAAATGGCTTGGACATAGTGTTCTTTTGTCTTCTGGCTTTTTAAAGCATATTTTCGGGGGGTTTTGAACTCCAAGGAGATTTTTATTGCTTATTCCGAGCTCAGGAATTAAGCTAAAATATAACATGTTGTTGTAGAGGTTTGTCATGTATAGATGGTCCCGTTTTTACATTATCTAGGTAAATGCTGTATGCAACTACCCACTTTAAAACCTAATAACAACAGATTACTCAATATATTGCCTTAAAACATCTGAGTAAACTATTTTTTAAAGTTGGTAGAACTAATGTTTAAATAAAGCTGCAAGCAGCAATTAAGGGGCAGAATGAGCACATTTGAGCACATTGGTCGGTGCGGTAAACAAAAACCATTTTGCCTATTGATACGAATATCACAACACTTGGTCAACATGGTCTGATGATGATCCGGATCAAATTTGGTGATATTTCAGCAAACGGTCTAGGAGGAGTTTTAAAAAAATTTTTTTTTAACAAATCAATATGGCGGACAGGAAGTTTAGGCAAATATGGCATATTTGGTATCAGTGTTCTCAACATGACCCAAGGAATAAGTTGAGATCAATTTGACCACAATAAATATATGCAGTCTAAAGTTATTAGCACATTTTTGATTCATTATTGATGGTAAGTGTTTTTTAAAGTGTGACCACTAGGTGGCCACAATTTATGTGTTATTGTGAGATGCTAGTGACACACCTAAAGTTCAGCATCAATATAATTAAAAGTTTTAAAATTACAATTAAAATTAAAATTACACCCTCATATGATCTTTGATATCGTGCCAGCCCATTTGTCGGTAGTGTAAATAAAAACTGTGTCGTGTATCAACATAAATTCAATAACTTCTTGCCAGAATAGTCTGAAAAACATTGGAGTCAACTTGAATTCAATAACTTTTTGTTAGCATGGTCTGTAGATCATGTGATTCAATTTTGGTAAAAATCGCAAAAACGGCCTAGGACGAGTTCGATCAAACAAGTTTCAAGAGTGCCCACTTAGATATGCTTAGCGTTTATAGCAGATTTGGCATGCTGTCCCGGCAGAGAACCCTGAGCTCGGCTACCGCCCGGTCAAATAAGCATATCTGCATATCCGAGATCAGGTAGGTCTCGAGAGCTCCCACTTGGATAAGGGAGGAAAAGGAGGAGATGGGGTGGAAGGGGGAATTCTTCCAAAATGAGGATAGAGCAGTAGGGAGAAAACGATCCATTTATTATAAACTAGGATCACTCTAATTGGATTGTTACTGATTACAGATGAGCAACCAGTTGTGCTCAGTCATATCTCATTCTCCTCTTAAAATGAGTTCATGAAACTTCACTTTGTGAAAAATTCAAAATAGCGAAAAGTTTTCATGATGGAAAATGACGTCATAGGGTGCGTTTGAATCGGACAAAGCCAAGGATTCAGAGGAAAAAAGCCCATTCAGTTCAAAAGTTATAACAATAAACATAAGTGAATCTTTGGACAAGTTTTTGAGTTTGAGTTGAGACTTCAGGTTTGCTGTTGTTCATGTTAACACTGCTCTCTATGATTGTGCCAAATACTACAACTTTCTCTCATATGTTTATATGGGCTGCATTCAAATCCGGCGGAAGAAGAAGAGGAAGCATAATAATAATAATAATAATAATAATAATAATAATAATAATAATAATAATAGGAACGCTAATGGAAACAATAAGTGGTCCCTAATTAGCAGAGTAATAGCACAGTGCTTCAAATATTGCACAACATGATTGGTGACAATATTGACAATAATATTGTTGGTCCACATCTCGCTGGCACATCTGTGACCAAGACAGCAAGTCTTTGTGATGTATCATGAGCCACAGTGTTCAGAGTAATTTCAGCATACCACCAAGAAGGATGAACCACATCCAACAGGAGTAACTGTGGATGCAAGAGGAAGCTTTCTGAAAGTGATCTCCAAGTGCTAACCTGAATTTTATCCAAAAAACATAAAACCACAGCTGCCCAACTCATTGCAGAATTAAATGCCCACCTCAGCTCTCCTGTTTCCACTAAAACAGTCTATCTGGAGCTCCACAAGGTCAATATACATGGCCAGGCAGCTATAGCCAGACCTTTGGTCCCTTGTGTCAGTGCCAAACATTGGTTTCAATAGTGCCAGCAGTAAAAATCTTGGACTGTGGACAATGTAAAACATGTATTGTTCTCTGTTGAGTCCACCTTCACTGTCTTTCCCACACCCGGGAGAGTTATGTTGTGGAGAAGCCCCAAAGAAGCAGACTGACTGTTGCATGCTCGGAGAAAATATGGGGGTGGATCAGTGATGTTTTGGCTGCAATATTATGGTATTCCCTAGGTCCAATACTTGTGCTAGATAGGCATGTCACTGCCAAGGTCTATTAAATTATTCTAGAAGAAGATGTGCACCCAATGGTTTAAACACTGAAGTGGTGCCATGTAACAGGAAGATAGTGCACCGATATACACAGCAAGACTGGTGACAGAGGGGTTTGACGAACATGAAAGTGAAGTTGAACATCTTCCATGGTCTGCACAGTCACCAGAGCTAAATATTATTAAGCCACCTTGGGGTGTTTCAAGTGAATCAGAAAATGTGTATCTCCACCAGCATCACATAAGGATCTGGCCAATATTCTGCAAGTAAAATGGCTCAAAACCCCTCCGGCCACTGTGGAGGACTTGCATCTGTCACAAGATTAACTGATGGCCACAAAAGGAGGCCCTACAGCATACAAATGAATGATTGTGGTCTAAAACCAGGCATTTCAGTTTCGTTCCAACCACGGTATATATAAACTTACAGTTTATTAGATGCAACTGAATTTCCTTGTATGGAAAAAGGAAGAGTTTTTAAAAAACCCACCTCGGGAGAAATCCATAAGGCTTGCATTCACACGAGGGTAATTTTATGATAACAGAATTTTCTTTTGCACATTTTCTAAGTAAACAAGCTCACCTTTTGAAGCCCAGAATTCTTGAGTGAGATCTCGCGCACAGATGTTCTGTTGATAGATATCCTGGTATCTCCATCAGGCAATGCTCTGTCAGCTTCAGACCGATCTAGTCTGCTCCCTTGTCTGGAGGAGCTAGGAGAGAGGCAGCGGGTTGGTGCTATCCGCATGGGTTCGTGCCTTTTTGGACCTTCAGAGACATGTTGGACAGCAGAGGCCCGAGTCTTAATTGGCTCAGAGGAGAATTTGGGTTGAGCTGTGTGTTTTTGTATTGAAGAAAGTGGTGGGGGAGTAGTAATGGAATGGACTGCACATCTTTTGAGAAACTCTGTATGCATTTCATCCTGTGAAAGAAAATGAAAAAAGTATAAAAAATAAATAAATAAATAAATTAGTTGCATGAAATGAATAAATTTTTTACATATTGCAATGCTGCAAGACTGCTCATATTTTAAGCCTTATAGTTTTTTATGAGATAATATGTTTTTAAATAATGACACATTTCTCATTTAGAAGTAATGTGCGTTCAAAACTTCAAAAAGTCTTTCAATGTAGCCAATATGAATCAACTTTTTTTAATTTAATAATTATTTTTAGAGATTTTTCAACTTTATTAGCATAGGACAGTTGATAATTTACAGACAGGAAAGTGTGCGGAGCAGAGACAGGAGAAGGATCTTTAGCCAGGAATTGAACTCGGATCGCCGTGATCATATCGGTGCTATCTTTACTAGACTATCGGCACCGACTGAATCAACAATTTTGATGACATCACTCTGCACTTTAGACTTCTCATTAAATTTTCAACCCAGGATCTTTCTGATTACACAGCCCTATATACATTTCAGGAACTCGCCAAAGGCCACTGTGTACACTTTGTCAGATCTCAAATTTCTCTCTAGTGCCATTCACAACTGTAGATCCACCAGAGGACCAACTGACCAATTGCCCCACCCAACCCCTTCTCTTAACCCAACCAATAGTGTTTTAAAAACCAACGATTGACCAGCGCCCACCCACTTCCCTAAACCCGACCGACAGTGTTTTCAAAAGCAATGCAGAAATAGAAAAGCCCTCGCAGCAGGCTGATTTTTACCATGTTTTCAGATTTTACCACATTCTCACCCTGTTATTTACTTGTTTATTTTTTGGCTTTGGTTTTTGTCTTACATGCTTTCTGGAAGCATACTTTGTCAGACGGCCCGGTCATCACGGTCAACTCTGCTCCGCATCTCAAATCCTCTGACATACACAGTGAGCCATTGGACAAACTGGTAACAGCCGTCTACAAAAGGTAAGCAGTCAGCTGGTAAGTGTGAAAAGGAGCGACATCCTACTGTGCCGAAACGTTAGTTTAAAGACGGAATGCAGCCATACTTTGCTCTGGTACATAATTCGCGATTTCCTGAAATGTATATAGGGCTACGTTTTTAGAATGAGACAACAATATATTGGCTTCTCATCAAATTTTGTGACCAATCAAATGCAAGTGCCAAAATTCTCCAGAAATGTTTTATTCTAATATGATTGGTTGGTTTTGACCATATTTACAATATACAAAACTAACAAAAGATACATTTTAATGCAGACCTTATTTTATCACCTGGATTTTACACTGACAGTATCCACTGCAAAAAACATTCTGCTGTGGCAACCCTTGATAAATCAGGGACTGAGCTGAAGGAAAGTGAGTGAATGAAATCTTAGCCATGCCTAGGTATTTCCATATTTTAATTCTATGGCACATTTTATATGTGGTTAATTTGCAATTTAATTAGATTACTTAAAAGCATGTTGCTACATCGTTGCTAGGGTTATTATCTGGCTGCTTATTGGTTTTTATGATATAGCTGCCTTCACTGTAAATCTGTTCATTTTATCTTATCTCATCTTAACCCACCAGACACAAATCATACAATAAATCCAGTCCTCAACAAACCACACAATCTAAAATATCATTCCTGCCGGTAGCACAAATGACTTCAAAACCCAAGTACAATACTTGGCAGTTTCTTTCCTTCATTTTCAAATCATTTCTCATGGTGTCCCACCGCTAATTATGACATTAAGATTAATAACGCCACTGCGTTCAATTATCTCCTTCCCAGACTGGGATATTAACACAAGGAAGGAGAGACGTTAATAAATCAAATTTCTCTCTAAAACCACAAATAATAAATTTAACAACAAAACTTGTGATGGAGTCATAAAGAGCATGATGAAATCTGTTGCAAGGATCTCAGAGCCGTGAACGCCAACGCTGTCACAGATGAAACGCATTAATAGCCACGACGCGAGACAGTCTGGCGCAGGCGGAGTAACATCACAGTTACCTGTAATTAATCAGGGCGACACTGTGCCCGGAAAGTTGTCTGTCTCTGCTCTGTTTTGGAACAGATAAGGTCTTTAAACTAGTGAGGCTTTGATCTACACTAATGGTCTTAAACAGCAAGCTTCACGCTAATGATGACAACCTCGCTAAAAGGGCACGGCCAGCAAAGCCATCAGATCAGCCAGAGTTTTTGTCTCCTTTCTTTCCATCTTCATATCCCCCGGAGGGACTGTTTTTATTAATTCGGCTTTTTTGGAGGGGGTTAAAAATAACAACGTGTCATCACGCTAACACTAAGCTGAAATGCTGACATTCGGTAAACACACATCAGTCTGGGGCAGGCCTTTATCTATTTGCAATTAATTTATTTATTTAAACCGAGCACGTTATCAGCGGAAGCCAATGTGTTTTGTGGTTATTAAGCCGTGTCACAGATGCATTTCAATATGTTACTGGTGCATCTACCTTCCGGTGCATTAACCGAAGTCATTAAGCAGATATAATCACTTCTGCTTCCAGTGGAAATGATTTCATACCACACAGGTACAAGATGTGGAGGTCCAACTTAAAAATAACGTTTAGAACATTCAAACTTTAGTAGTTATTACTTTTTTTCATCTCCCATAAGTAATAGGAAGTCAAATGCTGGCATATACAAGAAAACACAGAAGAAAAAAACAAAGACATTTATCAAGGACGTGGAAGAAAGGGGAAACAGACAACAAATAAAACTGTCAGCGGTATCAATCAAAAATCTCTAATTAAGTGCGGCGGAACATATGTATGCCAAAGATGAGACTGATTTCCCAGGAGGAAACCAAACAGACTGTGAATAAATGAATGATGTTCCTCTCAATGGACGCAGAGCCCAGGAGCACGATAGAGCTCGACACCGTCTCGTCAGAAATGAACCCAACTGAAGAAAACTGATGGTTTTCTTCATGGGCTTAAACGAATGGCGGCGCCCCTGGGGAGCTCAATCAAATTGTGTGCGTATCATTAACAAATGACTCCACCAGATCATGTGTCCTTGAGAGGAAAACTTTGACAGAAAGCAATCCAGGCAACGCATGTTGAGAAGTTATACAGTAGGTTAACTGTGATGATGTTTGAGTTTGTATACAGTATTTGCGTCTGTGGCAAAAATATAGGTGGATGATTATTTCTACACTGTAAAAAGTGATTAGTTGATATTACTTTAAAAAGTGATTCAAAGTTGATCTAATTTTTATTTTACTTTATAACACTTTGAAAAACACTTTGACTGAAAGCACTTTGAATTGCCGCTGTGTATGAAATGTGCTACATAAATAAACTTGCCTTGCTTTGCCTTGCCTAAAATGGAGTAAATGATGACAGAAGAGTTTACAGACTTTAATTAGATTTCTTTGCCTAAAACAGTTTGATATGAATAGATACTGTATAAAAACATGAAAGGTGAAAAAAACATGACATTATTTAATTAAGTTGGAAATGCTATTTAGTGCCTCCATTAAAATAAAAATGAAATACTGAATTATAATTTAGCCTTGACATTATTATTATTACTTACTTACTTACTTACTCCCAGGGCCATTTATATCAACGTTATATTTAGCTGGACAATTTTGGTGTTTCTTAATACCCAATATTTACGAGGTGGGTCATTAGCCAAACACTCAATCCCTAACCTGTAGGACCAGGACATACACACACACTACGGGCAATTAAGCTTACCCATTTCACTTATAGCACATGTCTTTGTACCTGTGGGGGAAACCAGAGCACCCAGAGAAAACCCAAATGAACAGGTGGAGAACATGCAAACTCCACACAGAAATACCAACTGACCCAGCCGGGGCTCGAACTAGCCACCTTTTTGCTGTGAGGCGACAGCGCTTCCCACTGCGTCATATTATTATTTATTTATTTATTTATTTATTTATTTATTTATTTATTTATTTAAATCTGAAAGTATGCGATTTGTTGGTAGTGATTTCATGTCTACAAGACAGGACAAATCTAAAAGCACCTTTATTTTTTTATTTACAACAATTTTGTGCACAATTTATGATCATTTGACTATATCTATTAGTTGTGTGGCTCTGCTTACATTTAATACAACAAAACCCTTTTTTCCCCAACAAAAATAAGGTCAAGAGTCTTGGTGTGATTCTGAAGTCAGATCTAAGTTTCAGTAGTCATGTCAAAGCAGTAACTAACTCCACACCATTATCTCAAAAACATGTTAAGTTATTTCCAGTGAGGACTTGTTCATGCTTTTATCAGCAGCAGGGTGGATTACTATAATGGACTCTTCACTGGTCTTCCCAAAAAGACAGTCAGACAGTTGAAGCTCATCCAAAATACTGCTCCCAGATTTCTGACCAGAACCAGAAAATCAGAGCACATCACACCTTTACACTGGCTCCCAGTTACATTCAGAATAGATTTTAAAGTATTATTACTTGTCTATAAATCACTAAATGGCCTAGGACCTCAATATATTACAGATAAGCTCACTAAATACAAACCTCACTCAGATCATTAGGATCAAGTAAATTAGAAATTTCAAGAGTTTAGTCAAAGCATGGTGAATCTGCCTTCAGCTACTACACCCTCACTGCTGGAATCAGCTTCCAGAAATGATTAGATGTGCTCCAACATTAGGCACATTCAAATCAAGACTGAAAACACATCTGTTTAGCTGTGCCTTTATCGAATGAGCACTGTGCTACATCTGATAGATCGCACTATTTTTTCTTTCTTCTCTTTTTGATTCCCTTAAAACTAGTTATATTTTAGTTGATGAAATTTTTTCGCCATAAATTTCGTGATGAACAAGTTTTTTACCGACGAAAACGAGACGAATGATGATGACAACTATAATAAAAATATACAAATATATATATAAAATATATATTTTCAATGACTAATAAAAACAAGAAGTGAATGTGATTAAGGGATGTTTTTTGGAAAATATCAGAATTAAAAATCAGAATTAATCTTGGTGTGTGATTTATTACACACACACACACATTTGAAAAGTGGTCCACTGGTAGACGCGGGCGATTATCATGCAGACTGATTGCAGACACATAACTTTACATTTTACGTATGATATAAATAAACAATGCACATGTAATTTTTGGTCTTCAATAGAAAAGCAATTTTTAATGAGACTGTTTTATCTAATTTAAAGTTAGACTTTTTTTTATAAACAAATGTACACAATATTTTATTAAATTACACTTAAATTAAACCAAATATATTTCAGCCAACAAAAACTAAAAGGATTCAGAAGACTAAAATATGACTAAAACTAAAATGAAATTTTAGTCAAAAGACTAAGACTAAAACTAAATTAAAATTCGCTGTCAAAATTAACACAGCTTAAAACCTGTTTTAACACATATTAATCTATTTTTATCTGTTTTTAATAATTTTTATTCTTTGTTGTTTTTATTTTCTTGTTTCTTTTATTCTTGTGTATGTAAAGCACTTTGAATTACCATTGTGTATGAAGTGTGCTATATAAATAAACTTGTCTTGCCTTGATAACGCAATAGAGTAAATTCTCTCTAATTACTTCAACAACTTTTTCCTGATTGTCCTTAAATCTGTAAATTGAACTGCCAGACGCAAGTCTCATTAAAGCATATAATGTCACATCCATAAATCATGGCTCTGCATTTTGCATAAGTATCGTCTATATATCCATACCTCTTCGCTCTCACTCCCCATGAAATCATCTTCCAGACGTGCATCCTTGCGTTGTCCTTCTGTTAGCAGCTTGTGACCTTTAAGGCCAAAGGTCAGATCCTCAACAGGGTTGCCGCTAGCCTGATTGCGTCTGGCTGAGTGAGGGCATGAGGAGAAAGTGAAGACTTCCTCTCCGTATTCCTCATCACTGAGAGAGAGCTCAGTTTCTGTGTCACAAAGGTCAGCATCATCTGCAGTCAGCACACGTTCTGGAGGTGAAGAAGCACACGGAGGCTTGAAGGCTGACCCAGATGTAGCCGCACCAGAAGCGCAGTCTGCAAATTTATGACAGGTAGATTTAAGAGTAACTTCACCATTTGTTGCTACGTCGTACTCGCTAAGTTTTGGTGTTTTGCCTTGTTCTTAATCACTACCTGGGCTTATTTTGGGTTATGTACACACAGATGAATGTCTGTGCATTACTTAATATTGACCATTTTAATTGATCTATGTTAATGAATTAGCCTCAATTTAAAGAACAAAACATTCTCCAATATCTTTTGAACATGTATTGTCAGGGTTTAACAAATGGGTGCTAAGAATAAAAACCTATAACCAACAACTACAAATAATACAAAAGCTAGAAATAAAACAGCTAGTAGTGTTCAGCAGTTCATGCCTTATAAGGCAAACACTCCAAGACTAATGGAGGCTGGAGGCCTATATAACTGGGAGAGAAGCATCAGTCTGGAGTTGCTGCTCCAGCAAGCACAATAAAGCCTCAACTGGAATCAAAGACTTTTTTTGAGCAAGTTATTTTGATCAATAACTATCCACAACATTAACAAAATTCAAATACAATACAATAGTATTGTATACAAATAGTATTACATTATTTGTAGGCTTCATATTATGTGTTTTAAGCAACTCAGGCTCATTCTTAAACTGTATCCCTATATACATTTCAGGAGAGCAACAAATATGTCCCAGGAGGTAGGTTTTTTTGCAGTTTTTGTATTCGCGAATCGCGAGGCCACTGTATATGCTTTTTGAGATCTCAAATTTCCCTCGCAAGTGCCATTCACGCCTGCTGTTCCCGCATAAATCCAGCAGAGGCCTCTGATTGACCAACCGACAGATACCCCTACCCACCCCCTTAACTTAACCCAACCGATAGTGTTTTAAAAAGGACAGATTGACTACCCACTTCACTAAACCCAACAGACAGTTTTTTGAAAAACAATCCAGAAAAAGATAAGCACCCTGATTTTTACCATGTTTTCAGATTTTGCCACATTCTCACCCTGTTATTTACTTTTTTATTTTATTTTTTGGCTTTTGTTTTTGTCTTACCCGCTTTCTGGAACCATTCTTCACCGGACTTGAACCTCGCCACTGGACAATTTTGTGACAGCAGAAAAACATCCATACAGAGGTAAGTGGTCAGCTGCTAGCATGAAAAGCATTTGCTTTAAAGATGAAATGCAGCCATACGTACCTCTGGGGACAGACTTGCGATCTCCAGAATTGTATATAGGGCTTTGTTTTCAGAATGAACCTAAGTTGGTTTTACACCTTCAACTTACTTTTGCGCATGATGTTGCTGTTTGTGTACACTGCAAGTTACTCTAGTTTTTGTCTTGCTTCTAGCGCAAATGTCTAAACAATCTTAAACCAAGCAGAATTTTATAGATAAGTAAAAACTATTCTCTTGTTTTCAGAAATGATTAGTCAAAGTTAAGAGTTTTTTTTTTTACATAATACGCCAATAGGGTAAGTAAAATAATCTTGTTTTCTGTTTAAAATAACTTACTCCAGTGGCAGATATGTACCCCACTGGCAGATTGTTTTACTTGTTTTAACGAAAAAATTACTAATGTTTTTATATTCTTTACTATTGTAAAACTGATTATTATTTCTGAAAACAAAACAATATATTCTTTTTTTGCTCAACTCCATCAAACACCACAGCAGAGGTCCTGAACTTTTTTCAATCACAAAAAAAGTTTTAAAAACTTTAAAAAAAAATGATAATCAAGAAATTTTGGATTAGCAGTGTATTGTCTTGATGTCCAAGAGATGCTGTATCACAGACGTAATACAATGATACATCTGATTACATTCCCAATTATTTACACCAGGGATGCCACAATTCTCAATGTACTATTAACTTTTCGGTACGACATCCACTGTTCAATATGCGCTTGAGAACTGCATTTTTTGCATAAATTTTATGCACTCGCACAAATGCTCCTAAATATATTTTCAGGTTGCATATATTTTGGTCGCATATGCAACCAAAACCGTTGCAATTTTTGAGTTCTGTTAAATTATTTGTAGCAATCGTTTTCCTCAAGCGGTTTGAGTTGCCTTATTGGGTTTTATGGTACTCAATTGGTTTGAGTTATCTTAATTTGGATTGGATTTTACTGTTCAAACTGTATCTTGTACTTAATTAATTAAGTTTACAGTACTTATTAAGATTAGTTTTTGAACTTAATGGTTTGTTGCAATGTTTCCTGAAATGGTTTGAGTTACGCGTATTTACTGAGTTTTACAGTCTATATGTACTACCTACTTTTATTCAAGTTACACACATTAGATGATCACATATGAGGGTAAAGACTTTAATAGTGCATTACTATATATACATATATAAGAATTACTACTTTCAATTTGTCTTTTTAATTAAATAAATGCAGTCTTTGTGAGGATAAGAGACATAAAAAAATCTTGCTGATCCAAATTATTTTAACAGGAATTTATATATCATTTTTTAAGTGTTTTAGTACACTTCCATTGACAATAACAGTAGAGTAAATACAGAAAATGCATTTGGGAACAGATATTTAGTTTACTTGTCACATTGCACCATTTCTGTGAAAAAAGACCAAGGATAATAACACTGAGAAAACAATTTCTACTAGTTTTCCCTTCTTCCATTGACTTACAGTCTCTATAAAGATCAATAACAGAGATCTAATTACTAAACATAATGTTTCAGCTTTCATTTTTCATCCCGGCTCTTGTGTTCCTCGCCTGCGTTCGTTTTAATGAGCATATGCAAATACATCCAGAACCAGAATCCTTGAAGATTGAGATGAATTTCACTACGCTTGCCAACTGCGGGCAAGAAGTAATTTATAGGACGCGTCCAGCCTCTTTCATTACATAACTACAGCATTATGCTTTAATTGCGCCTTAAAATATACATAAATGTGAGAGATGCATTAAAATTGTATTTTAAAGACTCTGATGGCAGGAATATACATTTGCGGTCCTAAGAGAATAAGGAAAAAATTGCATTAGGTTAGCCACAGTGTATGTGTGTGTGTGTGTTTGTGGAGAAAGGAAAAGGAGACTTTCTGGCTTTCCTACTGACACAAAAACAGCATCATTAGTAGATTGGGAGCAATGGTACAGTAAGATCATAATTCAGACGGGGCGATGTGCGCCTGTGGGGTCTGCATGCCCTCATACTAAAGAGAAGACACCCAGAGAGCAGGGAGCAAAAGACACCGCAGAGACCAAGTGATGAATTTGCCGCGCGAGTGTACAGCGCTTTGATCTACTTCAGCAAAATGCACAGAGGCACAAAGTCTGACTAAAACCGCTGTGAAGTTGCGTGAACTGTTAACCTGAGCTGTACTTCCTCATACCTTAAGACAAGGACAACGAAAGGGCATTAGAAAGCTGAATATACTGTTTTGCACTTTAAATTACTGAAGCTTGTGATTTATCATATTTTACTACAAAAGCATGGGTTGCTTTGATGACATTAAATGTCCTGTAATGTGTTAAAACTAATTAAAGGTGTAGAAAGAAATTTCAATTCAAACTGATCACAAATAATTAGAAGGAAACAAAAGTAGAAAGGAGTTAACTTTTGCATGTAAAAGGTACTCCAACGAACTTTGAATATTTGTTTTTTACAGAATAATATGAATGGAATGTAAAGGGATAGTTCACCCAAAAATAACTTCTGCCATTATTTACTCGTCCTTGACTTGTTTGAAACCATTTTGAGTTGTTTTTGTTCTGTTGAACACAAAAGAAGATACTTTGAAGACTATTGAAAACCTCTAACCAACATAGGCTCATTCTGAAAATGTAGCCAGAAGTACGTATGGTTGCATTTCGTCTGTAAAATGAATGCTATGGGGCGATAAGACACCATTCCTTTTTGCGCTTACAAGCTGACCATTTATCCCTATGTGGACTGCTTTCCTGCTGTTACCAGTTTGTCCATTTAGCTCGGAGAGTAGCTGACCTTGATGACAGGGTTGGAGTCCAGCGAAGAACGATTGCAGAAAGTGGGTAAGACGAAAACAAAAGCCAAAAGTAAAATAAACAATTAAATAACAGGGTGAGAATGTGGTAAAATCTGAAAAAGTATTAAAAATTAGGCGAGGGCTTTTCTTTTTCTGGATTGCTTTTCAATGTCAGTTGGGTTTAGGGAAGTGGTGGGTGCTGGTCAATCGATGCTTTTGAAAACACTTGGTTGGGTTTAGAGAAGAAGGAGGTACATCAGTCGACCCGTCAGTCATTTAGTCAGTCATTTAGTCAGTCAGTCAATCGACATTGGCCTCTGGTGGATTTGTGAAAACAAAAACTGCAAAAAAAATTACGTCCTTTGATATATTTGGAGCACCCTAGAAATGTATATAGCGCTATGATTTCAGAATCTAACCACTGACTTCCATGGCATTTGATTTTCCTTCTATGGAGGTCAATAGTTACTGGTTTCCAAAATATCTCAAATTGGTTTGGAACAAGTTGAAGGGATAGCTCACCCAAAAATAAAACTTCTGCCATCATTTACTCATCCATCACTTCTTCCAAACCAGTTTGACTTTCAATCATCTGTTGAACACAAAAGAAGATATTTTGAAGACTGTTGAAAACCTTTAACCATTCTAAAAATGTAGCCCTATATACATTTCTTTCGATCACAAATTACATAGCCAAAAGTAAATATGGCTGCATTTCATCTATAAAACAAACGATATTGGGCAGTATGACGCCGTTCCTTTTTGCGCTTACCAGCTGGGCATTTCAGCTTTCTTAAAAAGATCTCCTTAAGTGTTCAACAAAAGAAAGAAAGTTATAAAGCTTTGAAACAATTGTGAAAGAATAAATGGGTAAATTTTAATTTTGGGGTGAACTATCTCTTTATTAGTACACTGTAAAACCCAAAAAGTTAAAGTAAATCAAATTGTTTGAGGAAACCAACTGCAAAAAACATTTAAGTTCAAAAACAAATCCTAAT